TCCAGTCTTAGATACCAATGATTTTTAGCATAATATGAAATGAGAAGTGATTTGTGGTGTTTTGCAATGATAGCAAAAGCCTTTTACACTATGTATTATACAATACATGACGGAAATAGAAGACAAACAAGAGGCCCATGGGCCACATCGCTCACCTGAGAAGCTTTGACCATTCTGTTCTTTACCAGATTTCACCCTTGTTATACATAATGCATCCCCACCCTACCCCACTGATCATAATTTAGACATTTTGAAATCTACACTACCCCATGATCCTTCCATGGGCACATATGTTTCAGCTTTTTTGGCCCAGTGGTTCCTGAGAAGAAGATTTTCATAGATTTTTCCTATATATTTCTATGTAAAACTTTGATTCCCTATAATGGCCCCGCCTTCCCCCGGGGGTCATGATTCCTACAATTTAGAATTTACACTACTTCAGAATGCTTCCACATAAGCTTCACTTTTTCTGGCCCAGTGGTTCTTGAGAAGAAAATTTTCAAAGATTTTTCCTATATATTTCTATATAAAACTTTGATTCCCCATTGTGGCCCCGCCCTTCCCCCGGGTGTCATTATTTGAACAATTTAGAATCTACATTATACCAGGATGCTTCCACATAAGTTTCAGCTTTTCTGGCCCAGTGGTTCTTGAGAAGAAGATTTTCAAAGATTTTTCCTATATATTTCTATGTAAAACTTTGATACCCCATTGTGGCCCCGCCCTTCCCCTGGGGGTCATGATTTGAACAATTTAGAATCTACACTATACCAGGATGCTTCCACATAAGTTTCAGCTTTTCTGGCCCAGTGGTTCTTGAGAAGAAGATTTTCAAAGATTTTTCCTATATATTTCTATATAAAACTTTGATTCCCCATTGTGGCCCCACCCATCCCCCGGGGGTCATTATTTGAACAATTTAGAATTTACATTATACCAGGATGCTTCCACATAAGTTTCAGCTTTTCTGGCCCAGTGGTTCTTGAGAAGAAGATTTTCATAGATTTTTCTTATATATTTCTATGTAAAACTTTGATTCCCCATTGTGGCCCCGCCCTTCCCCCGGGGGTCATGATTTGAACAATTTAGAATCTACACTATACCAGGATGCTTCCATATAAGTTTCAGCTTTTCTGGCCCAGTGGTTCTTGAGAAGAAGATTTTCAAAGATTTCTCCTATATATTTCTATATAAAACTTTGATTCCCCATTGTGGCCCCGCCCTTCCCCCGGGGGTCATGATTTGAACAATTTAGAATCTACACTACCCCAGGATGCTTCCACAGAAGTTTCAGCTTTACTGGCCCAGTGGTTCTTGAGAAGAAGATTTTTTAATGACCCCACCCTATTTTTGTCTTTTCTTGATTATCTCCCCTTGCGAGGGGATATGTCCCTTCATTTAAACAATTTAAATTCCCCTTTACCCAAGGATGCTTTGTACCAAGTTTGGTCAGAATTGGCCCAGTGGTTCTTGAGAAGAAGTCGAAAATGTGAAAAGTTTACATACGGACAGACAGACGGACGGACGACGGACAAAATGTGATAAGAAAAGCTCACTTGAGCCTTCGACTCAGGTGAGCTAAAAATACCAAATAAGTATAAAAATCATGACAGTTTCTCTGAATACCTGGATACCTATCATTTTTTAACCTGAAATATATTTGTTGATCAATTTGTAATTAGAAAATGCATAGCTGATATTCCTATTCGCTTTTTCTGCAAAAATATTGGAGATTTGACGATTTTCCCTATATATGATTAACTTTAATCTTTAACTTAAAAGAAATACTGTGGATAAATTAACATAACTATGTGGATTCAGAGATACTTTTATGAGTATTTTTGATTACTTAACTGCTTATTTTATAAACCTGAGGATTGGACTACCTTAACAGTCAATATTTTGTTATACATTACTGAAGCAAAAATGTTTATCTCAACAATCTACAACTGTATATTATGATTTTAATGTCGTATATTACATAATTAGGGGCCACAAGGGGCCAAAATGCTAAATCTTTGACGCTTTATATCTCAAAAATGGGAAATATTTTGATAAGTAACATTGAACAAAAGATGTTCAAAATAATGTTCTGAACAATATGGAACCTTTTATTTTTTCGCTAAACGTCCCCATTAAGGAGTTAAAGGGCTGGCCCCTAAATATTTCTTTTGCGAATAACTCGAAAACGAAACAGAATCTGTGAATAGTTGTTGAACAAAAAGTGTTCAAAATCATGAGAGGTTTAAGGTAAAATCCAGAAAAAGGGGCTGGACAATCACATTAGGGGCCAAAAGGGGCTAAAAGTCTTTAATCGATACCTCTTTAGCAAGCAATATTTTGATACATATTACTGAGGCAAAAATGTTTATCTCAACAATCTACAACTGTATTTTATGATTTTAATGTCGTATATTACATAATTAGGGGCCACAAGGGGCCAAAATGCTAAATCTTTGACGCTTTATATCTCGAAAGTGGGAAATATTTTGATAAGTAGTATTGAACAAAAGATGTTCAAAATAATGTTCTATGATTTTAATGTCGTATATTACATAATTAGGGGCCACAAGGGGCCAAAATGCTAAATCTTTGACGCTTTATATCTCGAAAGTGGGAAATATTTTGATAAGTAGTATTGAACAAAAGATGTTCAAAATAATGTTCTGAACAATACGCAACCTTTTATTTTTCGCTAAATGTCCCCATTAAGGAGTTGAAGGGTTGGCCCCTAAATATTTCTCATGCAAATAACTCGAAAACGAAAAACAATCTCTGAATAGCTGTTGAACAAAAAGTGTTCAAAATCATGAGAGGTTTAATTTAAAATTAGAAAAGGGGGCTGGACACTCAAATTAAGGACCGAGAGGGGCCAAAAGTCTTTAATTGATAACTCTTTAGCAGGCAATATTTTGTCATACATTACTGAAGGAAAAATGTTTATCTCAACAATCTACAGCTTATATTATGATTTTAATGTCGTATGTTACATAATTAGGGGCCATAAGGGGCCAAAATGCTAAATCTTTGACGCTTTATATCTCAAAAGTGGGAAATATTTTGATAAGTAATATTGAACAAAAGATGTTCAAAATCATGTTCTCAACAATATGCAACATTTCATTTTTTGCTAAATATCCCCATTAAGGAGTTGAAGGGTTGGCCCCTGAATATTTCTTATGCAATTAACTCGAAAACGAAAAAGAATCTCTGAATAGTTGTACAAAAAGTGATCAAAATCCTTAGAGCTTTACGGTGATATGAATAAAAAGGGCTGATTCCTAAAATTAGGGGCCTTGAGGGGCCAAAAGCCGATTTTTAAAGTCTTTAATGTTCAATGCCTTTTTACAGATTATGGAAATTCATTATTTTAGAATGAAAATCTCAATCAAATCTTATCTCATCTCATCAAGAATCGGACGGAAGACCCACTCGTTGCTCGCAACGAGATCGTATCTAGATATAATTGTTTTTTTTCTTACCGATTTTGTGCACGAGAGTTCTCGGAAACGGCTCGATCGATTTTCATGAAACTTTCAGGACTGATAGAACATCAAACAAACCTGATATATCATTTTTGGTTTTGATGACGTCACTTCCGGTTTTGAGATTTCCGCGATTTAGTGATTTTCAGAGGGTCACTTTGTCCGGCAGTATGCGCATGCACATGTGCTGCAATCTGATTGGCTGAAACTTTAAATGCCTATAACTTTCTTGGTTCTCAACAAAACGGGATGAAATTTAGAATATGAATAGGTATGATGGATTCCTAAATTATGCTACTATCAGAATTGAATGCAAGGACACACATGCATGCACGTGCACAATACGCAAAATGACTAATATATTTGAAAAACGGTAACATTTATATTTTTATGATTTTTCTTATTGATTCGCACGACACAAACAAATGTTAATGCTTTAGACAACATGCCATGTTCATCTTGCATGAGCATGCACGTGCGTGTGCATGCAATGAGTTAAATGACATATAGTCGGTATAATTATAGCTATAATAATTCTTTTATGAAATCCTTTGATACTGAGCATATTTTAAAAATGTCTTACAGGAAAATGGCTCAAAAAAAGGGATTTGGGGAGCATTTGGGGAACATCTGTAACGGTCCCCGTTACAATTAAAACTAGTTTGATAGTTATTTATTTTTTCATCCAATAATACATTTACAAGTATACATTTACCGTACTTTACCTATGTATCTCAGAGCAGTAATACGTTTTCAAGAAATAAAGAAGTTATAATCCAGTGTCCATCATATGCATCTTATGGTATATAACATGTATTTGATTTAATATGCGTGTCCTTACCATTTAAAGATTTGGTTTACATAATTATTTTGAATGCAAGCGTTTTACTTTATTGTATTTTTGCAAAGTTGTAACTGAAATAACAATGAGTCTGTAAGATTCAATTACAGTACACATTTTTTCGTAGCATTCATTTTTCCTAAATGTTAACTGTTTATAAATTATCTCAATGTTATTTTCATAATTTCTGTAATTTTGACTTATTTTATACTTTGTTTATTTTAGATCAATGCCTTACTTCCTTAATTAATGATGAAAACAACATCTGTCTTGCTGCTCGGTTACACATGCTTGATAGGAAATAAAAGACTTTGTTTCGTATGACCTTTAACTACAGCATCATACAACGTAGTTCTTTCATGAAAGCTTTGAATCCTAGTACAATGTATAACAACTCTTACTCCACTGCCTTGCATACAAGATTTTCATCAAAAATAAATTCAAGGTACATTGTTTTCTCTTTATTAATCAAAATTTGTAAAATTTTAATTCCATCTTTCATTTCAGAAAATTTTGAACTGCATAGGTAGTTTTAAATTGTTATTTTGATAAAGTTTTTAAATAAATTCTCTGAATTTGTTCCTTTCTGTTGATTTCCTGGTACATCAATATACATCTTTTCTTTTCAGGAGCCAATACTGGTGTAGCTTGTCTAACCATTTTCTCCAGTAATTCTGGCACTTGACAGAGTCTAAGTAGTGGATGTCAGCTGGGTCTCCATTATCATACACCACCACCAAAGCTGCACTGCTTACCTGAGGAATCTGCAGTGAAAGCAGATCAATGAAAATTCAGTATTTGTTATGGCAAGGAACTTAATATTACTTTAACTAGGGATGTCAACAAATACATGTATTTGAATATTCATTTGATGACTTGATATTCGAATATAAATTTAAGATTCCAATATTCCTTTTTGAAGTATACATGCATTTAAAGGGAGAAAAATCTGGCTAGTTTTATTGATATTGAATAAAAATAAATTTAAATCAATTGAAAATTCAAAATTAAAAGTCATTCCTCTTGGATTACTGTAGATCACTTAATATTCGAACACCTTATTTTCGCGAGATAGTCATTGACTCTTTATTAGCGATACAAAATTTCACAAATTGTGGTCATTGCTCTATATAATGTTAGGGAAATCTATTATACGTGAGAATGAAATTTTTGCGAGCAAACCGTCTCGCGTAATTATGCGAAATAAAGTTCTTGAGAATAAAAAGTGATTTAACGTATCTTCAGAGTGTGAAGTGTGTGTCTATTAAAATCATTAAGTTATTCATATGATCATTGATTGAATAGGGGTGTAACAGTGCCCGGTACTTTTAATCAGCTTCTATTGTTGTAGTTGTAAGTGAACACATGGATCCCTTATTTATGTATATTCATCCCATGTTTAACTCTTTATCCCAATGATATAGCTCATATGATATCGTTTTCATATCCCACAGTTGTGACGTCACATTGAGTTTTGTGTTTAAGAGTGAATGATGTAAAATAAAGTCCTATATAAAAACAGTGTTAAACATTGATTGTGGTGTATAAAACATGGGATAAAAAGAATCTCACATGATTTGTTAGATGATTTTTATCCAACTTATTGTGTGTTTTTATCCCTTCGCCAAAGCTCTGGGATATACACATGATATAAAACACACAACTAAATCATAAATGATAAAAATCATATCCAACTTCAAATCATGTGAGATCCTATATATATCATTAAAATCATTATCAAGAAATTAAGTAACTAGCAATAATTGACTTGAGAAGTTGTTATTTTATATAATCAAAATATAGCAAGAGGCCCAGGGGCTACATTGCTCACCTCAGCACTGGCCAGAAAAAAAACAAAAACTTTGATCGACCATTGTGGCCCCAAACTACCCCTGGGGATCTTGATTTGAACAAATTTGAATCGACACCACCTAAGGATGCTTTCACATAAATATGACCAATCATAGCTTTGCTGTTCATAAGAAGAACATTTTTCCTATATATTCCTATATGAAGCTTTAATCGACCTTTGTGTCCCTGCCCTACCCCCGGGGGTCATGATTTGAACAAATTTAAATCCCCTTCACCTGAGGATGCTTCCATAAAAATACCCCCGGTATGACTAATCATGTCTTTGCGATTCTTGAGAAGAAGATTTTTAATATTTTCCCATTACATTGTTATGTAAAGCTTTGATGGTCTATTGTGGCCCACCCTACCCTCCAGGGGTCATGATTTATAAAAACTTGAATCTACACCACCTGCAGATGCTTCCATATACTGTACATCACTAAATTCTCGTGACACCTTATTTTCGCGAGATAGTCATTGACTCTTGATTAGCGAGACAAAATTTTCACGAATTGTGGTTATTGCTCTATATAATCTTAAGGAATGCTATTACATGCGAGAATTAAATTTTCGCGAGCACACTGTCTCGCATTATTACATGAGAATAAAGTTCTCGAGAATAAAAAGTGATTTACAGTAAATATCAAGTATTCATGGCTTTTCAGCTCTTGAGAAGAAAATTTTTGAAAATTTTTCACATATATATATTCCTATGTAAAATTTTGATCAACCATTGTGGCCCCATCCTACCCCCTGAGGTAATGATTTGAACAAATTTGAATCTACACCACCTGAGGATGGTTTCACATAAATATGACCAATCAGCTTTGCTGTTCTTGAGAAGAACATTTTTCCTATCTTAAACTTGGATACCCCACTGTGGCCCCACCCTACCCCCGGGGGTCATATGATTTGAACAAACTTGAATCTACATCACCTGAAGATGCTCCCATATACAGTAAATATGACCAATCATGGCTTTGCTGTTCTTGAGAAGAAGATTTTTAAAGATTTTTTAAGGGTCCTCCACACACATACAGCTTATGTTCTCATATTATGGAGCATTACTTTTAACAAGCATATCAACCTTTAAAAAGTGACCAGGGGTTAAAATGTAATTTATAAGGAATTTTTAAAATAATAATTTCACAAGTTTCAAAATATTTTTCCCAAGGCGTTTCCAAACGTAGAACCAAAAATTTTGTCTTACCCTATCGTATATTTTTATGCTCACAGAATAACCATAAAAATTTAATTTTAGTGAACAACTTATGTCTTAGAGAAATTTATTTAATTTATAAAAAATCAATAAAACTCATTTTCTCTCAAATACGTCTGGAGAAAAATCAAGGAAGACTCATTTTGTATAAGAAGAAACATCAATGAATTAGACTACACCCAAAAATTGAATTAAAATTGAATGCAGTAAAGTAGAAAAAATATTTTCAAAATCATTGGTATCAAAGTTCCTTTTTTGGAGTTATCTTTCCTGTTGCCAAGGACTCAAAAACTTTGGCAAGTCTCTGCAATAGTTACTCATTATTGGCTACTGAACTAGACAGAAATACATATGTAAACCAGAAGTCTCTGTGGAGACTGAAGCTCTACTGGTTTGTACTTCAGGAAAGGAAGAGAAAAGTTGGGAACTGAAACTTTACCACAGCAATAAAAAGGATAATGAACCTTGATTAAGTCTCTTTATGTTCTTAGTGTAGTCTACTTGCATGCCACATTATATTATAATCAGACTTAAACTGTATTTGGAGTAGAATTTTGAGAGTTTTTAACAGAAATTTCTATTTTTAGTAACAACGGCAACACCGTTCATCGAAATCTAAAACCGATAAACAGAATTATGTATTTTAGTGTAGTGTACTTGTGTGCCAATTTATATTGAAATCAGACCAAAACTGTAGGAGGAGTAGCATTTTGAAAGAATTTCACAGAAATTTCTATTTTTAGTAACAACGGCAACACCGTTCATCGAAATCAAAAACCGATACACAGAATTATGTATCTTAGTGTAGTGTACTTGTGTGCCAAGTTATATTGAAATCAGACCAAAACTGTAGGAGGAGTAGCATTTTGAAAGAATTTCACAGAAATTTCTATTTTTAGTAACAACGGCAACACCGTTCATGGAAATCAAAAACCGATATACAGAATTATGTATCTTAGTGTAGTGTACTTGTGTGCCAAGTTATATTGAAATCAGACCATAACTGTAGGAGGAGTAGCATTTTGAAAGAATTTCACAGAAATTTCTATTTTTAGTAACAACGGCAACACCGTTCATCGAAATCAAAAACCGATACACAGAATTATGTATCTTAGTGTAGTGTACTTGTGTGCCAAGTTATATTGAAATCAGACCATAACTGTAGGAGGAGTAGCATTTTGAAAGAATTTCACAGAAATTTCTATTTTTAGTAACAACGGCAACACCGTTCATGGAAATCAAAAACCGATACACAGAATTATGTATCTTAGTGTAGTGTACTTGTGTGCCAAGTTATATTGAAATCAGGCGAAAGCTGTAGGAGGAGTAGCATTTTGAAAGAATTTCACAAAAATTTCTATTTTTAGTAACAACGGCAACACCGTTCATGGAAATCAAAAACCGATACACAGAATTATGTATCTTAGTGTAGTGTACTTGTGTGCCAAGTTATATTGAAATCAGACCATAACTGTAGGAGATATACAGAATTATGTATCTTAGTGTAGTGTACTTGTGTGCCAAGTTATATTGAAATGAAACCAAAACTGTAGGAGGAGTAGCATTTTGAAAAATTGTTTACAGACAGACAGACAGACGGACGGACGACGGACGCATTACTATCGCATAAGCTCTTCTGGTCTCTGACCAGTAGAGCTAAAAAGAGGAAAACTAGAAACGCACACTATTTTATCAATATTTATAAACACAATGTGATGACGTGTCATTGAAACGCACAAATTAGTGTGCAAAAATATCAACTTTCAACACAGACTCTGTTGACGATAATCATGTCAGTGGGTTGATTAGCCTGAAAGTACTTCTTTTTGTTTATGAATTATTATGTAACATATACCCAGTCATTTATCTGTCTTTTCTAGAAAAAACGGACATCTTTTTCTATCGGTCACTCCGTGACCATGCCATGTGTTCAATGTTATGAGTGTGCTACATACTTTCTCTTTCGAAGACTCTCTTACAAGCGGTTTCCCGGCAATTCTCTGATGCAAAATCTAAAGTAAAAGTATTTTTTCTCTATATACGTCACAAGTCACATGGTGTGGAGGACCCTTAAGCATGGCCCTTCATTTGAACAAACTTGAATCCCCTTCAACCAAGGATACTTTGTGGCAAGTTTGGTTAAAATTGGCCCTGTGGTTCTTGAGAAGAAGACAATCCACTTTAATGGCTCCCCTATTCACCTGGTTGTTCATGATTTGAACAAATTTAAATCTACAGTACTTTTTTTTTGATGCACTTATATTGATGATGAATCATGGCTTTCTTGTTCTTGTGAAGAATTTTAACGATTTTTTCTTTGTATTCCTACATAAAGCCTTGATCACCTAGTCATATAATTCTTGAGAAGAAGATTTTTAAAAGATGCCATTAATTTTTTTTAATAATTTTTCAATACCTCCTTTTGGAATAGGGTGTGGCCCTTCATTCTAACAAACTTGAATCATCTTCACCCATTGGATACTTTGTGGCAAGTTTGGTTGAAATTGGCCCAGTGATTCTTGAGAAGAAGTCAAAAATGTTGAAAAGTTAACAGACAGACAGACAGTCAGACAGCTAGACAGCTAGACAGACAGACGCCGGGCAAAATATTATCAGAAAAGCTCAGGTGAGCTAAAAATTTGATTATGACTCATTTTCCATTAAAGCACATTGACATTTTTCCAATGTAATTTT